CACTATACGATCACGGCTGGCCATTTTTACTGAGAGGGTGATAGGACGCACTTCTTTATAGTCACAGGCATTTGTATTAATAATAAGTAATACAGCAAATATCCTTAATATGTTAGCATAAATAGATTACTTCACTCCGTTATAATAATTAAGAAATGCATTAAACTGCCGAACTACTGGACTATACCCTTGAACTTTAAAGCTGTCTGTTCCTTCGTCAGGAGATAGATGGATGGTAGAGGTGATGATGGGGCGGTAGAGGGGGCGTTAGAGGATGGTAGAGGTGAAGATGGGGCGGTAGGGGTGATGAGGAGGTCACAGACTGCTAACTTTTCCCTATGAACCAGGATGACCCAGGAAACTGGTTCCTTCTCATGTGCACGTTTTACTGGATTATTCTCCTAGTTATCGTCTTTGTCTGGAGTTAAGGTGAAGCTGGTTGTGAGGAAAGGGCAACTGTTCTTTATCTTGGACAACCTCTTTCTGTGTGTCTGCCAAAATGTGCTGCCGTGACCCGGATTCGAACCGGGGTTGCTGCGGCGCACACGCAAGTACTAACCACTATACGATCACGGCTGGCCACACACGCTGAGAGGGTGACCTGACACGCTTCTTTAAAGTCAGACATTGGTTTTCATCTAGCACATATTCATTTGTTAGCATATTAAGTGGATTACTTCACTCCGTTTTATTGATTGATAATTAAGAAATGCATTAAACCAAGATGGTTTTAGCCTTCTGATGTGGATTTTTGACTGAAGTATTCTCCTAGTTGTCGTCTTTGATTAGAGTTAAGGTGCAAGGTGAAGCTGGTTGTGAGCAAAGGGCAATTGTTCTTTATCTTGGACATCCTCTTTTTGTGTGTCTGCCAAAACTGAGTGCCGTGACCCGGATTCGGAACGGGGTTGCTGCGGCCACAAGCAGAGTAACTAACCACTATACGATCACTGCTGGCCAACATGTGATGCGGGGATGAAACCGCACTCTTCCTTTATAGCACTGAACATTTGTTTTGACACAGCAAATAATCTTAATTTGTAAGAATAAGTAGATTACTTCACTTAATAATGTTTATAATTAAGAAATGCATTAAAGTGATGGACTACTGGACCCCCGGCGGCGGTAGAGGTGATGATGGGGTCAGAGACTGCTCCCTTTTCCTTATGAACCAGTATGAGCCAGGAACCGGGTTGTAGCCTTCTGATATGCATGTTTTACTGAAGTATTCTCCCAGTTATCTTCTTTGATTGACGCTAATGTGAACTGGTTGTAAGGAAAGAGCAATATAGTTCTTTATCGGGGATGTCCTCTTTCTGTGTGTCATTCCTGCATATCAAAACTGAGTGCCGTGACCCGGA